TACATGAATACCAGGGGCAGGGGACAGGTCTGCTGCTCATTCACACCCACGTTTCTGACAAACTAGAATCCTCAGGAAGACTGCAATGGTTTAAAAAAAAAAAAAAATTAAAATCAGCCCGCCACCCCCCACAGCCAGCCTAAGAAACTGTCCTCAAGAGCAGTTTACCCCCAAAGAACATGCAGTGGGAGCACTATGCACCATCCGGAGCTAGTTCAATAATGCTTGCAGGAAAAATTAAAAGCTGGTCTAGTTTTCACAGAATTCAGTCAGATCCCCAAACTGTTTCAGCTGTCTGCAGGCAGCGCTGTGTCACCGTGCCAGAGGGAATAGACTAAGTCTAAAGATAGAACGGGTAAAGGCAGCAAACATGACCAAAGCAGCATCTCACCACTACCTTCCCCCTTGAGCAGCTTTGCAGCTTAAGGAGTTTCTCTCAACAGAAACTTCCCCTTCTCCTAAGAAAGAGCTGGAAAAAAATCCCACAGACAGCAGCAGACCCTTCAGTGCTCTTGGGCTGCATCTCATTCAGGAGATGACCACAACTCCAGGTGACACTCAAGGAGAGAGTCACCACTGCTCACCCTCTAGTGACAAAACTATATTGTTCAACCACAAACTCCCTGAAGCAAAGCAGAGCAGCTGTGGCAGGCAGCAGCAAACTTGGTCTTGAATGCCACCAAGGGACAGCTCGTGGCTCTCATCACTCCCCATGGCATGGAGCTGAGAGGCAGAGCTCAATGCTGAGACAACACACTTTGATCCAGACTCAGCCAGCTGTTTGTGGGCAATTAGCTTATGCACTGACTGCTTGATCAGTTCACTTGCTCGTTCTCCCCAACTTTTTTGTTAGTCTGCAAAAAGCTCAGGGGAAGCCATTACATCCTGGGAAAGGCTCCCAAGAGCCTGCACAAGAGAGCAGAGGGGTTTGGGAATGGGTTCAAGAGAGAACACCCTAGCCTCTGCTGCCTCTCTGTACACCTCTGTCTAACACAACACAGCCCTTGAAAGCCCAGCGGGACGGAGGCCACCAGCTAGAAAGGATTAAAAGTCCTAGTGCAGACATGCAACCTTCCCTTGCAGTCACCTTGCACTTCTTACTCAGCACCAAGAGATTCAATTGAAACAGTCATTAAAGTTAAAAAAAAAAAACAACAAAAAAAGCCCCCCCCCCCCGATGTTTTAAAAGCTCACCCTGAGCCCTTTGCCACAGGCTGCAAATCATCCCATCCCTTCTGCATCTGCACTCTCCTGGTTCAGTCTCCTTACTGATGTAATCTCAGATCACCTCATTTCATGTGGGAACTTTTTATCACTCAACACCCATCACCTGCAGTGCTCCAACAAGGCTGCAAAGTTCTTTGGTGATGGGGAATGAGACATCAGTGCCCACACCTGTAGCTATGATGAGCCTAACGCAGAACATGAGCTAACAAACCTTAAAACAAAGCAGTCAGGAGGCAGTAAGAGCTGCTTGCCTTCCTGCCAAAACCAGAGGAGCCACAATGCTTTCACTGCCGCATTTCAGCTCCTCTTCAGTGACTGGGTGTCCTCACACCCACCCTCATTCTGGGGACTCTGGGACTGCCCCATCTTCCACTGGAAGAGGACATGACAGGACCTCCCTGCCCACACTCTCACAAAGCAGCACCACAAACCTTCTCTCAGATACTCCCCCTCTGGGCTAGTCCATTTGCAGGAGTTACCCCTATGCCCCCC